TCAAATAAATAAATAAATAAATCTTTAAAAAAAAAAAACCAATAACTATAGCTATGTAATTAAAAATCTAAAATTCAAATACTATCACCATTTAAGCCTAAAAACAAGATAATTATAATCCATCTTTAGCATAAATTTCAGCATGAAACAGTGGTAATATTGAATCACTTTACATAGCCAGTTATTTACAAAAATAAAGTAACAGAAACATACCAAATCACTCATCTAAATGCTACTACTTTAAATAAGCTATCATGTTCAGCTTTTGTGTTATTTAAAAGCTTGAAAGGAGCAAAGAATCATGTTAGCAGAAAATCGATTCCTCAACTTTATACCCCTGCAATAATTTACTTTGTAAAGGAAAAAATAAACATCAAAGGCTAAAGTACATAATGATCCACACTACCTCCTCCTAAAAAGAAAACTTCCCAGTTTTTTCATTTAATACATTGCATCAAGTCCATGAATGTTGGCCATTTCTTATGGTTAAAAGGCTTACCAGTTATAAGTTCTTCTAAAGGAATGTGAAAGTCAGCCACACTTGGCAATTTATGTATTGTGGTTTTGTGGTGAGTGCTACCATTTTCTAAGGATCAAGAAAAGCACAATAAATCTAAGACAGAATGGTTATAATTCATCAAAACATATTATATAACTAACTACCTTGGGTGTATTTTCCAATTCATATCTAATTTTTTCCCAATACATTAGGGCTTTAAGATGGGAGACACAAAGTTATTTTTCAGTGCCCCCCTTTTACTGTAATTTTTGGATAATCCATCCTGTGCATAAATATCTTTAAAAGAAAACATGATATAAATAAATGATATGACAATAAGTTCCTATTATGGGTAAGAGGGAAAAAGAGAGGATAAAAGAAAATGAAAGCACTTGGAAGGACCGGTTAGCATCTTATATCAACCATAAACATTTGTAATGAACCAGTGAACTCAATGGCATGTGAAGATTATAATAATCTGGTTAAAATATTAATCTAAAATGGCATCTTAATATGAAGATTCAGAGAAAGTTATGAGAAGTTTCATCAACTAATCCCCATGCAGTTCCAAACACTTACTTGGCCCCATGTTTTTGTGGTACATCGCATATAACATCACCCATCTTCCTTCTAATGTCATGGCCCTCAACTGACTTTTCCCCATAGTGGACTCCTGACCAGGTGCTAGATGTCTGTGTGTGTCATAGCACTGGGTGTGTGTCAATTATGTTCATGAATTACACATAGTGTAAATAGATAGGTATCAGTGATCTCTTAATAACAAAAAATTTTAAGAACTAACAATAAGTTAAACTGGCAATTTTAAAATTATACACATACACTTGATTGGTAATACAGCTGTGCTGAATGGAGATTGCTAAGCCTGCTAATGGAGAAAATACATAAAAATTTATTTGTAGGGCGCCTGGGTGGCTCAGTCGTTAAGCGTCTGCCTTCGGCTCAGGTCATGATCCCGGGGTCCTGGGATTGAGGCCCGCATCGGGCTCCCTGCTCCGCGGGAAGCCTGCTTCTCCCTCTCCCACTCCCCCGGCTTGTG